TTTTGAAGAAGGAAAAGCTCTATGCCAAGTTAAAGAAATGTGAATTTTGTCTAGAACGAATAGCATTCCTTGAACATATTGTCCAGCCCGAGGGATAGAGGTGGATCATAGTAAATTGGAGGTTTCTTAGGCTTAGCAGGATACTATTGGAGGTTCGTTAAAGGATTCTTAAAAATATCAAGAGGTTAGTTATGACACAGTTAACATGCAAGGGTGTAAAGTTTGACTGGACAGAGAGGTGTGAATAGAGCTTTGAGGAATTAAACGCCCTAGTGTTAACCATATCCAATGGGTCAAGTGGTTTTGTACGCACAATCTAGAACTTGTCATTAAAGATTTGGAGGCATTATCTTTATACGGATCACAAAAGCCTAAAGTACATCTTCACCCAGAAGGAGTTGAATGTGAAATTCATTATCACCCAAGTAAGGCAAATGTGGTAGCTGATGATGCCTTGAGTCGAAAAACAGCAAGTCAATTAGCTATGTTGACTACGAAGCAACTACTATGGACACCACTCACTCAGCCACTCAGCCAGGTATGGTCGCTGGAGTAGCAGCTCTCTCTATCCAACCCACGCTCCGTGACATGATTAAAAGACATCAAAAGGGTGATAGTGGATCCATTATTTGGGTCATAGTGGATCGACTCACCAAATCGGCTCATTTCTTACCTGTTCGGATGAGATTTATTATGGACCAATTCGCGCAGTTATATGTGAATGAGATAGTAAGGTTACATGGTGTGCCTGTTTCTATTGTATCGGATAGCGATCAAAGGTTCACATTGAACTTTTGGAAAAATCTACGCTGAGATATGGAAACTAAACTAAAGTTTAGTACGACATTCCATCCTCAAACGGATGGGTAGTCTGAGCGGATAATTCAAACATTGGAGGACATGTTTCGGACATGTATACTCAAGTTGGGGGGGAGAATGGGACAAGCATCTACCATTAGTTGAGTTTTCATGCAACAATAGTTACGATCGGTCTTTTGAGTATATCAAGTCTGAAATTTAACTTAAAAGTGGAAGGATTTCACCATAGCTGAAGATAAAGCATTATATTAAGGACAGATGTGTGTACCGAATTTCAAGGAATTGAAAATGTAAGATTTGAATATAGTATTTTGGTGGGAAGGCGTGAAGACGAGTATAACTAATTATGTTAAGAAATGTTTGGTATGTCAACAAGTGAAGGCCGAACACCGGTGACCGTTAGGCTCTGAATGCCCGTATCCGACACTTATCGGACGCGGGTACGCCTCCAACATGTTGCCGACACGTGTCAGAGTTCCTTGTGGCGTGTCGGAGGAGAGAAAATGCAGATAGCTTGAAGAAATCAGTAAGAAAAAATTAATGGGAGGGAAGAAATGCTAGCTTGAATGGAACAAATGCTTCTGAAACAAACCAGGAATTAGATGGGATTGAAGAAATGTTACCTTGAACGGAAGAAACCACGGTGGGCAAGAAGCCGTCGACTGTTCTGGCAAGAGATGCATCTGGGAAGAGAAAAAGAAAGGGGAAGAAGAAATGGGGGAAAAGAAAGAGGAAATGCTTGGGGAAGAGAAAGAAGAGGAAACGTGGGGAGAGAAAAATGTACTGGGGAAGGAAAGAAAAGTGGGGAAGGAAAGGACAAGACTTTGACATTATTGGGCCCACCATTGTAATTTTTTTTTTTGCTAGAAACGTATAACTGACTTTTTTCTCATCAATGAATCTTGTTCCAGTTGTATTTTTTGATTTTGATCAAAAAAAGGTCAAATTTTATTTGAAATCAATTTTTTACCATTTTACCCTTCAATAAAAAATCAAACTTGTAATCTACAAAAAAATCCACTTAAAATTTTCTTTCTTATTTCATCTTTTTCAAAAATTTTATATAATAAGTTATTACTTTAGACTATAAAATTAAAATAGCCTAAAAAAAAATTTATAATCAACGTGTTGGCAACGTATTGTGTCGGAATTTTTTAAAAAATAGCGTATCGACGTGTCCGACACATATCGTGTCCGTGTCGGTGCTTCTTAGCCGTCAGGGTAACTTGAACTATTGGAAGTCCCAGAGTGGAAGTGGGAGCATGTAACTATGGACTTTGTGATTGGTTTTCCAAGGTCAGCAAGAGGTCACGATGCTATTTGGGTCATAGTGGATCGACTCACCAAATCGGCTCATTTATTACCTGTTCGGATGACGTTTACTATGGACGAGTTCGCGAGTTCGCGCAGTTATATGTGAATGAGATAGTAAGGTTGCATGGTGTGCCTATTTCTATTATATCAGATAGAGATCCAAGATTCACATCGAACTTTTGAAAAAGTGTACACCGAGCTATGGAAACTAAACTAAAGTTTAGTACGGCATTCCATCTTCAGACGGATGGGCAGTCTGAGCGGATAATTCAAACATTGGAGGACATGCTTCAGACATGTATACTCGAGTTTGGGGGACAATGGGAGATGAGTTCTCATACAACAATAGTTACCACACTTCAGTTGGCATGGCACCATACGAGGCATTGTATGGGAGAAAGTGTAGATCACCAATTTATTGAGATGAAGTCGGTGAGAGAAAGATTTTGGGGCCAGAGATTATTGAGCAGACGGTGCATGCAATTGAGAAAATTCGTGCCAGAAAATTGCCCAGGATAGACAAATGAGTTATGCAAATAGAAATGGAAAGAGTCTGGAATTTTCAGTTGGTGATAATGCATTCCTCAAAGTGGCACCAATGAAAGGAGTGCTACGTTTTAACAAGAAGGGTAAGTTGTAACCATGTTTATTGGCCCATTCGGGATCTTACAACGTATCGAAAATGTCGCATATCAGTTAGCGTCACCACTAGAACATTTAGCTGTACATGACGTCTTCCACGTGTCAATGCTTAGGAAATACGTTCCTGATCCGAGTCATGTGACCATCAGTCTATCAAATTACAGCGAGGTTTGAGCTATAAAGAAGTACCAATAAGAATTTTTAATCAAAAATTTCACACCCTCCGAAACAAAGTGATCCCACTAGGACGAAATTTATTTTTAGGAAGATAGATTATAACACCTGCACCCGAATTTTTGGGTCTACTTATGAAAATTGAAAATTTAGGGGCTCATTATAGGATTAATCTATCTTCTAGGACCTTGTA